GAGGAGGTTTTTTATGTTTGTTCTGTGGTTAGCTATTAACTTTATTCTTGTGGTTACTGTTTAAAGCAGAAGGCACAGTGTACCAGAGGTTCATTTGGGTTTTTATTCATGGGCCCAGAAGATGAAAACTATATCTTGGTTGTTTTGATATTAACAGTTTCGATAGATCTACATAGCTTCTTATGGTTTTATAATTGGAAGATACAGGCTTATATGAATTATGTTCAGCTTTATCTTTCATAATTTAAAATTTGGCCTATCATAGCTATGTCCATGTTCTTTTCTTGAGGCCTGGGTGTGATTGATTCTCTAATTGACCTGTATATCGTCTTGATTGAGAAAAGCCTGTTACTAGCTGGGTTACTCCTATGTCTGCTTCTGGGCCCCGGACACTCCTACCCAAACCTTAAGGCTTCCTCATCCGCTCAAGCAGTGACAAGGCGGACCCACGCTGCTTTAGGGACAGCTGTAGAAAGTGAAGAAATGAGGCTGTGACACTGATCGCGGGCTAAGATCTCTGCACTAGAGAGTGGACACAAGGGAAACAGTCAGCTTGCCCGGGGAGTGAGTTTGGGGGCTCGGAGGAGTGGCTTAGATTTGGCAAGGAATAATTCCAAGCTCCCTTCTCATTGGGGTTTTCAAGATTTTAAGAAAATCTGGCTCGGCTTCACATAATCCGCAGCTTTTTTTTTTTTTTGTTTAGAACCGTTCAAGATATTATATGAAGGTAAAAATAATAATATTATTATTTTTTTTTTCAGCCATATAATCTTTATTCCCGGATTCCAGTACCTTTGTTTGGCCATTCCCAAATGTCCTGCAACATGCTTGTCTGTTCTGTGGTATTCTGGTAATTTGGCGACCTCAAGCCCTTTACCATTCAACCTTTTTGTTCCTGTCTTGTTTTTGTTTAGCTTTCCTTCTCCCTGAAATGTAAGCTTTTTCAGGATGGAGATATAATGCTAAGCTTCCTTTTTTATCTTATGAATTACCCAGTTCAATGATGGAAACAAGAAACTAGGCATATTAATTACAGGTTGATTATTCAGATAATCTATACTTCCTCTGTGGACGCATCTATTGGCTGTAGTTTAGGGATGCGCGGAAGTCTATTCCCAGTATCATGTCCACAGATTTCATGTGATGTCATTAAAAGCGTGCCCACATAATGGGTATAATACTTGTTGTCTGAAGAGCGTATGATATCAATACGGATTATATAGTATATAAGCAATGGCAGCAAGATCATACTTGATAGGCTTCATTCTATCAAATAATTCGACTTTTCTTTAAAAATGGAATAGAGGAGTCTAACTTGGCAAGGAAGTTATTGAAGCACAGAAACAATAGAGGCAAGTTCATATTCAGCTTTTTTAAAGAGCATCTAAGAAGAAAATAAGAGGATGGCAGAAAAATTTGCTATCATCCCTATTATCTGGACTGAAGCTTTCCTGAAGTTATCCAGAAGATGATAGATTAAGCTGCCCATTTCTCACTGTGTCGCTTTGTTGATTTTTTCTTTGAGACACCTTCGGTTGATCTGGGTAATGCTTACTTAACTTTCCCTCGAATATATGATAGAAATGATGATGAGACAACTTTGCATCCACCACCTCCCTCTATGATGGTCTTGGTCGCTCTAGTCTGCTGGATCTGAAAATCTCGGATCCAATGTCAGTCTGGAATATCACAGAAACACAGAGCAGGAGAAATTCAACTGCATTCTCTAAGCATGTTCTCCTCTGGGTAAGACTGTATAACATAGCTACACTTCTTAATATGAAGGCAAGCAGCAAATTCATAGGATCATCCATTATTTTAGCAAATCTATGTACCTCTTTCCTTGCCAGACCAGTTTTCGCAGATGTTGAGTCATCAGTCCGTGTTTTTTGATCTGAGTTTTATTAGTCAAAAATCTCCAAAACAGAACCAGCTGGGAAAAAAAGAATTAGTGATTTTCATTGTAGTTTGTAGAGTAGCACCCTCCGTGCGGGATTCTCCATGATGAGGTTTGGATTCTTCTTGATTGGATGTGTGTTGTTACTTACTGTTAAAGACCACAGTAAACCTGAGTCTTTTGTTTTTATGAAATAATTCAGGCAAGGTATGCCACCTCGTGGCATGCCTGTGCTTCCATTTTACCTCGCTCCTCATCCGAGCAGCGGGCGTAGGTCTCGAGTCTCCTCTCCAGGCGTGTCTTGATCCAGGCAGTTGTTTCGTATTCCATGTTTGCATCGGATCTCCCCCGGACCCTGCAGATCTGCTCCTCCCAGGCTGCTGATGACCGCATCGGACTCTCTGACAGCTGGGCCACGTGCCAGCTTGCGATGTCAGCAGGGTCCCCCTTCTACGGAGCTTTTCTAAGAGAAAAGCAATGACAAATTCATGATTGGAAATACCAGTGGTTGGATGATTTTTTAAGACAATGCAGTTTTCTACTTACTCGGTCGCAATTCACCAGTTACACACCTATATTCTTTATTATGACTTCTTTAATTTTTGGTTGGCATTCCTTTTCACTAAATCTTTAGGGAAACAGAGTACATTTCTTTAACTGGTTTATGCTGCCTATCACCCAGGACAGTTTTCCTTAAACGGTGATTTTTTATGTGCCTAGTGAACATGTTGCAAGAAAGGAACGGCGGTTTGCTTAACGCTCTGGCTGGAGATGTCAAAGCGTTCCAGCATAGCCATGCGCCAGTGGACTGTAGCTCAATTTTCAGGGCTTGCAGAGTCCGTTTCAGTTCTGTTATCTACTCTTGGGCAAACTGGCTGCCAACGGCATCCGTAGAGATCTGTGCTGCAGTGATGCGCTCTAAATAGAAATTAAAAAAAAAAAAGCAGTTTTTTTGATTGTAAGGCCTGTGAGAGAGCAGAAGTGGCTTGTGTGTGCTGCGTGCCCACAGAGATATACCACCCTGCTTTTGAACTGCTCCTCAGCCTCTCGGGCGGTTTGCTCCGCCAGTTCGCTCGTACTGTGCTCTCTCCACATCAGTAATTTGGTCAGCGTCGGTTCTGGGCGGCATTCATTCCGCACGGTCACGTCCCTCCAGAGCTTCCTTGAGAATCCTCCATCTCTAGACGAGGCAAAAGACCATAGCGTGCAAATAGAAAAACATGATGTCCTAAATGTGCATAGGACGACAGCAATTGAACTAGAACTAGTAGGGAAACATCAAATCAGATATAATTTGCTTATTATGATTTTTTTTTCCTCATGCATAGTATGGTGGGAATATTCATCTTAGATAAAATGAGTTTATTCTTATTTTTTAATAGAGTGGATGGGGGGATATCGTATGCCAGAGCTGTGCATTTTATGTGACTGTTCTACCTCTCGATGATTCTCTTCATGTAGGCCGTTCGCTCAGTGAGACTCTCAAGTCTGCATCTCCAGGTCAGAGCGGGGTCATGGTCAGGCTCGTCCAGAACTCTTCCGTAGGCGTTGATGTCGGCTCCGCTTTGCCGGAGGTATAGCTGTCTCGATACCTGGAAGGGGTAGCAGTTAGGCCAGTATGGTCGGCTGCGCCTGGCCACTTCAAAAGAGTCGCTCCCATTCTTGCATGTTTCAACGTTTTCACCTCTGGCATCTGGAAATGAGGCTTGAGTTTTCTCTTGGGAATTTTCCCTCATCAAAGAAAAATATGCAGTTTTAAAAATGTTATCATCGCCTAATATTTTTTTATATAAACTCTCATAGCTAATTGCCTCTTTCCTTTACTATCTTGGATGGAATAACTGTTCTAAAGTTTCCCTCGGGGATGTTTGGAAATTTAGGTCATGTCTCTAAATTTTTTTTATTTTTTAGGAGCTTGATGAACTGTTTTCTATAACATCTGTTATTTCAGTCTTGACATTTCGTTACTCAGTTCGCAGTCTCACAGCAGCCAGTCTGGGATTGTCAATTGCAAAACGATCCGCAGCATTTTCAATAGTGGCAGTAATGTCTAGAAAAGATGTTACATACGTGACATGAACCAATGAGTGACACTTTTAACTTGTGTCTGTGTGTCTACCTGTGAGGGTAGAATGCCCCCTGTTGTTATTAGGCACTTAAGGTGAATCCTTGCAACTTATTAATGACAGTCTTGTATTTGGACTGGTAATATTTAGGATAGCATCGCTTCTGCAAATGGTAAAAGTTTGCAGCATTTATATGGACTAAGGTATAGAACATTGTTTTACAGAAACAACTAGTAGACTCCTATATATCTTCTGCTCGGCTTTCGAAATCGTTATTCCATGAGCTCTTTAGAATATGTGAAAATGGAATTTACATAAAAAGAATCTTAAAAATATATTCTTATACCATGTGGCTAAGCACTTTTAAAGATTCCACTCATTACTATTTACTTTTTTTTTTTTTGTATAAGAGACAGGGTTCACATTTGTCACGCGGCTGGAGTGCAGTGTCAATGATATTGCTGCTATGACCATCGAGCATGCCTGGCTCGGTAAATCTGCACACCTCGGCTCCTTGAGTAGGCTGGGACTACAGATGCCTGCCAGCTAGCCTGGCTAATTTTAAAAAAGTATTTAGTACGACATGGTCTCATTTCGTTGGCCTGATGCCTCCGAAACCCTTTTCGTGCCTGAAGGTGATCCTCCCACCTGTCAGCTCCACCAACCAGTGCTGGGATCATAGTGTGAGCCCCTGCACGCGCTTTGCCAAATTCTATACAATTTTTGCGCCAGATTTTCTAGAGCAAAACTCCTGAGGAGCTATTGTAAATCTAGCAGGATTACTAAAATATGCTCACGCCTGTCAGATTAATCATGGACTAATTAGTTAAACGTAATGTTCGATCCTTGCCATCATTCTTTATCTAATGTTATTCGCCCTCCCCTGGCATTGTATACGTTTACGCCATATTAAGTTTTATCAATAAGGCCACCAGCTTTCATTTTACCGACCAAATATTTTTCACAGTCTTTTGGCTTAAATTTCATTATAACGAACATGATCCTGAATAAAGCTGAAAGACATAAAAATAATGAACTCAGGCCACGACGGGTTCACCGCTTATTCTGAGATCGTTCAATACATTGATAGTTTTGCTGTAATCTCTTCCCAGATGCAGATCTCTCGACCCGGGCCCAAATTTGTCATACCACTCCTTGATCTTGTTCTCCAGGTCAGTGTTGGCCTCCTCCAGGGCCTTGACTTTGTCCAGGTAATTGGCCAGGCGGTCGTTGAGGTTCTGCATGGTTTGCTTCTCACCTCCAGAGAAAAGCCCCCCATCGCCAGCCCCACCTCCCATACCGCCGCCGTAGCTGCAGAAGCCTCCACCAGAACTGCCACCGAATCCAGACCCTCCACCGAACCCAGAGCCCCTGCCAAAGCCTGAACTCCCACTGAATCCACAGCCGAATCCAGAGCCCCCCCCAAAGCTAGCACCCCCGCCAAAGCCTGAGCTTCCTCCAAAACCTCCCCCTACTGAGCAGCTACCAAAGCCCCCACCAACGCTGCCCCCAAAGCCACTGCTAGATCCCCCACTCAGGCCACAGCTGCTGGTTCCTCCTCGGAAGCCCCGGGTAGAACTGCCCCCCAGGCCACATTTGCTTCCACTGCTGAAGCTGCTTCTACCAACAGACACCCTGACCGAGCCGCTGCCTCCAGCCTTGGAGGAGGAGACGCGAGATGAGCAAGACATGATGCTCCTGCGGACGCTGAGCTTGTCCAGGTGAATAGGAGAGGTGACGATGAAGACTGTATTCAAGCTGCCTTTTGGCCCTTATATACACACTTTTAGGGTGTTCCTTTTCTCTGTCACTTCTTAATCCCTGTTACAGTTTTGCTAATCCATAATTGGATAATTTCTTTTTCGTGAACCCACTCTACTGGCTCTTTTTCTGAAGCTTGGGTCAGAGCCCTGGGGCGTTTACTATATCAAGGAAGAAAAAAAATAAGGTGGAGCAAGGCAAAAAAACTTTTCAGAATTACAGTTTTAATCTTTCAGAGGTTTCCATGACTGGTAATTCCTTTCTGAAAGAGTAGTTCTATTAAATTCGCTTCATGATTTCCCAATTGCAGGGAACATCTCCAGATTATCGAATGTAATTAAAATACTTAATATGATGAGAATAAAAATTTCCCATCAAACGCATAATTTTTGTTCTTACTGTTCTCAAAAGTCTAAATTAGCATTCACATCAGCATTAATTTCAGATTTAATTAAGCGTCCTTTTCTTCGATTGTTTCAATCAGCATATTTTTAAGGGTGTTGAAGTTTATGATTCTAGGTTATTGCTTTCTTTGTATTTTGAGTCAAATATATTTTTACTGTTAATAAGAAAAAATAAATAAAAGTCTTCTACATCAGTAGTATTAGATCTCAGCAACACATTTATTTAAGGAGATAATGTCTAAGAAAGATTGGAAAAGTTTTTAGGCAGATGGCTTTAGTATGTTTTTCTTTTTGATTCAATTCTAGTCTGATATAATGAGAACAACTTCCTTCTTTAGAATCGAGTCTTAAAGAAAGGAATGGTGCTGATTTCTTCTGTCTTTGTTTTAAAGATATCTGGAGAAAAGGATCTGAATCCACTTTTTTGTTCATTTGTTTTATTTTTTATTACTTATTTTTAAAAATTTTATTATTTTATGAATCCACTTCTGATAACCTACATTGTTCCTGGAATCATTTTACAGATTCTGAAATCTGGAGTTTCCCCTGTCTACTCATTGCTCATGTGTTTTCTATTTTTGTTGAAAAGATGTTTAGAAAAGAGGCTCTGTATCTACTTTTGACAACTAATGTTATAATTGGGGTAATTTTATAGGTTCTGAGATCTGGAACCCTCCCCAGTTCACTTTCTGCTTCATGTTTTTCTGTTCCTTTGTACTTTAGATTATTTCTGTTCATTTCTTCTAGTAGTTGCTCTGGTTAAAAGTGTCTTTTAAAAGACAAGCATTGTAGCCAGTGTGGTAGTACACACCTGTGGTTCCAGCTACTGGGGAGGCTGAGACAGGAGGATTGCTTGAAGCCAGGAGTTCCAGGCTGCAGTGAGCTATGATCACATCATTGCACTATGGGCTGGGCAACATAGCAGGACACTGCCTCTAAATAATTTTAAAAAATAAGACAAAAACTGTATAATTCCACATATATGAATTTCCTAGAGTAGTCAAATTCATAGAGACAGAAAGTAGAATGAAAGTAGAAAGAATACTTTCATAAGAATGAAAGTAGAAAGAATACTTTCATAAGAATGAAAGTAGAAAGTAGAATAGTTGTAGGGGCTGGGGAGAGGAGATAGGGAATTGCTTACTGGGTATGGAGTTTTAGTTTTGGAAAATGAAGAGTTTTGGACATTGGTTGTAAAACCATGAGTATATATAAGACTACTGAAGTGTACACTTAATAATGATTAAGATATAAATTTTATGTTATGTGTTTTTACTACAATTTTTTTAAAAAAGTCTTTTTTGAAAAAGTATAGATGCTTCCAAAAATATTTTTTAGCCTCCTTATCTTTATATTTGAGTAGATGACTTTTGTTTATTTAAAACCTTCTTTCTTATCTAGGCAGTCTCTGTTAAACTATGTACATGCCTTAGTCTTTATATTTAATCATTCGTTATCCTGTGTTCTGCCTTTTCTTAATTTTTCCTTAAACTACCATTGTCTGGGACACGTTATTAAATATTAAGTAGGTGGTGAGTCTCTGTACTATGTAGTTGTTTAGTTTATTGGCATTTGTGCTCTCCCTGTACTGTTGTCACAGTAATGCGATGTCACTGTTCTTCATATTTATCCTGGCATCTCTCCACAAGGGGTACAAGGTGCTGTGCAAACTTTTAACTTGTTAAGCTGGAGGAATTTTCAAAACGCCCTTCTAAAGTAGGTAAAAAATGCACCAAACGTAATGTGTTGGTCATCTTGCCTCACCTGTCCCCAAAGCTATGAAACCAAAGAAATCTGAGCACTAATGATTAAGTGGTATGCAAATGCCAGAGATGGGAGGAACAGTCATTGGGTTTTTCTTCCTTTTAAAGTTATGAAATGTAATCTTTCCACTTTCATAAAGGCTGGCATTCATCTAAAAGAGGGCTTAAAGAAAGGAACAATAGCAAAGTGAAAGAAATCTGATGAAATGTAGAAATTTAAGAACCTTTATGTGGAAAAAATGAGAAAAGATAAGATTTAACAGTATCTTTTGCCTCTGAACTTTACCTGGGGTTAGTGGAGTTGTTTTCTTCAGTTGTCATCTGAGTTGTAGCCTTTTTTTATTTTTATTTTTTATTTTTATCTTGGCAGCTGTATTTTCCTTTGAGATATTTAGCTTTGGGATATCTGGACATTTGGGTTTCAATTGAGGAATGCTGTGATGATTCAGGTATTACTGTTTCATTTCTTATTTTTTGTTTTCCTCTTGACATAATTTATAATGCTGGCATCCATCTCTTCCTTGTTTTTAAAACTCAGCTTCAAAATTAAGTTCTTATGAGATGCTTCTCTGATGCTATTCAGAGATAACCTATGAGAAGGGCCTTTATTGAATGAAATAGCCATTACTGCCTCAATTCTTTGCTTCATGAGTCAGTGTATAAATAAATGTATAGATAAGCCCACAGCATTCCCTCCTCTGTTTGTTAGTATTAAATGCATTTTCATGCTTTCTTTCTGTTGGATCTATGTGACTTTTGTTTTAAATGGTGAAACTATCAAACAGACTAATCTTGATTCTATGATTTGCAAATTGTCTAGAATGTTGATATTTGGTGGATTAAAGGATTTTAATCACATATAGAAATACAATTCTATTCTTGCCCAAAGTGTTACAATCCTTTAGTAAACATTAGTCCCCATTTTTTGAGACATCCTCAATTTTAATACTCACTCTTCATTTGAAATAATAACTTGCTGAAGACCACAAATTTGTTCTTGGTGTTTCTTTGATCTGTAAAGTGAAAGCTTCAAGAGTCTGGTGAGATTCCAGTGAAATAGGAGGTTTAGGAAATGCCAGTGCAGTGTGTGGCATCCAGGTATCGGTCTTCAGTTCTCTCCACGTTTGCTGCAAAGACTTATTAATTCCTTTTCATGGGCTGAGTAGTACTCAGCTCATAAACTACTATGGACGTACTAGTATATAGTATCATTATAGTGGAGTACGTGCTATTATGATTAGAGTTCAAATACACATACCTTCGTTGTGTGTTTGAAATAATTTTTAAGGCAGGTATAATGCTATGCCACCCTGTCTTCAACAATTTTATTAATTCACTGTTCATCCACATTTCATGATCCAACAATGGTTCATACCGTTTAGTTTTAAAATTGTATAATCCCTTAACAAAGACATTCTATTGTGGTGTTAGTATCTTGACGCCTATGATCCTAGCTTCTATATATCTGGGCATCATTTAGTGCAAATACAGTGTCTTACCAAATTCTAGCGGAACCAGAATGAGAGTTTCCTGCGAGATGATTTTCAGAGTACCTCCATATATTGCCTTGACATAGGGGTATATGGGCTAACACTCAGTCCAGGGGGTCAGGACCTAAGCTGGGAGACTAGTTGAGAGCGACCCGGAAGAGGCTCCCTGATGTGGTCCGAAAGCCCTAGGGACTGCGGGGCTGCACCAGGGGCAGGTTTAACTTTCTGTCATTTGATCTGTTAATCGGCTGGATCTGCTGGTTCCATATTCTTAGTTTTTTAGGGGCAGAGAAGAACATTCCCTGGTTTTATTGATTTGGAACATGCTTGACTTACAGATGCCTTAAGATTTGTTTTTTCTTTGAGGAGGTTTTTTATGTTTGTTCTGTGGTTAGCTATTAACTTTATTCTTGTGGTTACTGTTTAAAGCAGAAGGCACAGTGTACCAGAGGTTCATTTGGGTTTTTATTCATGGGCCCAGAAGATGAAAACTATATCTTGGTTGTTTTGATATTAACAGTTTCGATAGATCTACATAGCTTCTTATGGTTTTATAATTGGAAGATACAGGCTTATATGAATTATGTTCAGCTTTATCTTTCATAATTTAAAATTTGGCCTATCATAGCTATGTCCATGTTCTTTTCTTGAGGCCTGGGTGTGATTGATTCTCTAATTGACCTGTATATCGTCTTGATTGAGAAAAGCCTGTTACTAGCTGGGTTACTCCTATGTCTGCTTCTGGGCCCCGGACACTCCTACCCAAACCTTAAGGCTTCCTCATCCGCTCAAGCAGTGACAAGGCGGACCCACGCTGCTTTAGGGACAGCTGTAGAAAGTGAAGAAATGAGGCTGTGACACTGATCGCGGGCTAAGATCTCTGCACTAGAGAGTGGACACAAGGGAAACAGTCAGCTTGCCCGGGGAGTGAGTTTGGGGGCTCGGAGGAGTGGCTTAGATTTGGCAAGGAATAATTCCAAGCTCCCTTCTCATTGGGGTTTTCAAGATTTTAAGAAAATCTGGCTCGGCTTCACATAATCCGCAGCTTTTTTTTTTTTTTGTTTAGAACCGTTCAAGATATTATATGAAGGTAAAAATAATAATATTATTATTTTTTTTTTCAGCCATATAATCTTTATTCCCGGATTCCAGTACCTTTGTTTGGCCATTCCCAAATGTCCTGCAACATGCTTGTCTGTTCTGTGGTATTCTGGTAATTTGGCGACCTCAAGCCCTTTACCATTCAACCTTTTTGTTCCTGTCTTGTTTTTGT